GCCAGCACAGTAACCCCGGGGGGCGACGCCGTGTGGCTTTCCTGCGGGGGAGAAGAAAGAAGTGCTGGTTCAGCTGCGCTGGCGTGCCCTGACGTGGGGAAAGAGGGCTCCGCGTCTCCGCGTCTCCGCAGGTTCCCGCAGCAGCTGCTGTTCTGTTAGTTCTGCGTTCTGAGGCTGAAAGTGAAGGGCATTTGCGAGTTCTTTTCTGACCGCTGAGACGGGGTGTTCCGAGTCCTCTGTCGTTTTAGCAGCAGGCACGTTCTGGCTTTATTCGTTGGCGAGAACCTGGAAATCTTTGCTCTTCATTTCGGCCCCACCACTTAACGTTTCTTAAAAGTTTTTTTCCTCCTCTTTGTGTTTACCAACAGCAGTCACTACTAGAGGTGAAACTCAGGAGAGCATCAGGCTGTCAGTGTCAGCCCAAAGCTTTCTTTTGGTCTAAATATAGCAAAGGAAGACTCCTTCTCTTCTTCTAATTGCCATCGAAGAGAACAGGATGTATAAGCAGGAATTTTAACTCTCAAGTGGATTATTGAGTATCCTGCCAGCCTGCAGCAGCTGTTCTGTGCTGCATATTGTGCTGGTATTATTTGTGATGGATGAAATGCAAGGCAAAGGATTTAGGTTTGTTTGCAGCACAGTGATGTTGCAGTATGAAATTAAAAGGCAAACAGAGGCTAGATCCTAATGTTAGTGCCAATTGGCCCAGTTTCATCCAAATCTGTAAAGCTGATTTATTGCACTTGAGGAAAGAGGTCCCTTGTATGAAGGACATCTGGAATGGGAGAAATGGTGAATCCTCTCCTGCCGGCTTCATGAGAACTGCTGTAAAGCAGGAGTGATTGTATTCCCACCTCAGCTGACCTACTTTTTGCCCCCTTTCATTTTTGCCATACAGTTTTGAGAGTTTGGTCTTTCAGCTGTTAAAAATCTTATGATTTTTTGAACGGAACCCTAGTGGTTTGAATCCATCCACAGAGGAAAAGAGGAAAACCTTACCCAATACCCTGCAACCTACCGTGTCAGTTTGATGATGGTCTGGCATGTGTTGTTCATCTTCTTTGTTTACAGTATTTGGTAGACCATGCTCTATAGCTTTCTGTGAATATAGGTACAGCTTGTGTTTCTCCGCCACCCCACCCTGAAAGCTCCTCCTGTTGCTACAGCCAGAAAGGGAGCGTGCTTGTCTCGGCCCTCCATGCTTTCCTTTCCTTTCCTGTCCTTCCCCCTTTTCAGCTCAGTGTCGGAAAACACAGTCAGGATGCACCGGTGTATTTGGTGTCATGTGCATGAGTAGGAATTAAGGTTCCTGTGCTTTGCATTGAAGTGTAACCAGCGGCCTTGGGAGGCAGAAATCGTCTCTGCAAGGCCCCTTCCCTTAGTTTAACTGGTGAAATGATACTGGAAAACAGTGTGGCTTTGTAACATCCCTTTCTTGGTTGCCTGGTGCTCTGTGGCTCCCTTTCTGTTTGGCAAGCAAGCCACTGGGGCAGAGACCTGCTCCTCTTCTGCTCTGCTCAGCCCAAAGGGTGCTGTCGCACTGGGCGCGTGGATGTGAGAGTGACCAGGCTACTCCTGCCTCCCTTGAAAGACAAACTGCTTAAACCAAAGGTTTATCTCCAGCAGCCAGCCCAGCCTTGGTGCCAGTTCAAAGTGCAGGTCTGATGGATAAATAGAGGCAGTAGACAAACTCCCTGCTGGGTCCATGGTGGGGCGGAGGGCTAGTGTTCTTGCCTCCATAAACTGTATGCCAAAGACACCTGCTTGGTTAAGAGCCACGCTGCCATAGGTGTTGCAGACCTGAGCTGAGGGTGGGCTGCTTGGCTGCTTGTCTGGGAGTGAGCAGAGGGCTTGCCACCATAAGGCTTGACCCTACTGGAAGGCGGGTGGCCCAGCACACTCTTGCCCTCCTGTGGGCCTGGGAGCTGGTCCTGTTGGAATCTGGCTCTGTCAAAGCAAAGAAAAAAAAGTGCCCATTGTCTTATCAAAAGAGCTAAGACAGCTGATGAGGACCTGGTGTTTGCACCAGAGAGGCTGAGGGTGGTGGGACAACCCCTTTGGTGGGACCATGTATTTAGGTCAGTTTAAGGCATCTGAGAGCACAGTGTCTGAGGATTTGTTGAGGGCTGGTTGCCACAGGAGGTCCTGTAAAATCCCAGATATGCTGGGGTCTGTCTGTGTCAGCCCTCACTAAAAACAAAGCCTTGTAAACAAGAGACAGTAAAGCTGTGTTCAGGTCTGAGTCTGCCTGCTGACCAGAAGTATGGCTGCATCTTTGCATTTGTCCATGTCCTTATTGAGGGAGGATAGCAGAAAATGTCCAGCTTAAAAACAGCTGTGTTATGTCATGAGATTCTTTTTCCATTATTAATCAGTAATTAGTACTGAGTTTTTGCTATTGGTTTAACTCCTCCAGTGAGCACAACCAGGGTGTTGAAAGTAGGCTAACTGACTGTCCCTTCTAAATCCTCTGCAGAATTGCTCTGTTCATGTAGCAAAAATCGTGTGGCACTTTATTAAACATTGAGAGAAAAAAATCTTTAATATTTGCATTGGGTTGTTAAAACCTAAATATTGGTCCCAAACTATCAGAGAGTAGATCTGTTTCTTCCCTGGTCTCTGACACAGGCAGAGGTTTTGAGTGTTATTTAAGTTCCATGGGTCACAGGTCCCGGGGCATGCATCACTTCACCTGTTCACAGATCCAGACGTATGTCATGATTGAATGACTTTATGTACCCAACTTCTTTCAAGCCCTAAACCCTATAACTGAACAGGAATCTAGGCTCTCAACTGTAAATCATGAGCCCTCGCGTGCTCAGTCAGAAGAGTGTGTCGGGCACCTGGAGTGGAGATCTTGGGCTCTTTAAGAAACAAGCACACAAGTGCAGGTGTTGGGCAGCTCACTCGGTAAGAACACAGTATTACCGTGAAGGTGACAGGCCTGGCTTGAGGGCTACCCCTGCATTTGTCTCCCATAACTGTACCACTTTTATCACTAAAAGAGGAACAAGATGATATGAAGAAGCTTGAAGGGAAGGCAGGGGAGGAGCAGATGTCTGAAAAATGTTTCACTTGGGCAGATGGAGTTGACATTCTAAAATTTCTTGAAGGTGCCAGATGTGTTGAAGAGGTTGTGAAAGAACCACTCCCCCCTCTTTTCTTCCTCCAAAGTGAATTTCAGTTTCTTTAGTAATAAGCAAGAATATCTCGCAGATCTTCAAAGTGTCTGCTCTGACCTCTCAAGCTGGCTGGCAGACAGCATAGTGTGCTGGTTGGACTGCTAATGCATGATTCAGATTTAAGTGACTGCATCCAAGTCACATGGCTTGCTCAGCTTCCTCTTTTGAGTTGGATATATTTCCTGAGACACATGGGCTTGGGTAAAGTACTGTAGAGGAGTTGTTCTTGTAGATACTGAAGCTTTACAATGCATTGGAAGTCTGGTTTTGCTTATGGACAGGTGGCTGAGAATCAGAAGGTGACTGAATTCTTGTTATTTACTCCAGTTGCTTTGTTAAGCTGGCTTAATAAATGCTGAAAGGAATTCTTCTATCACTTGCCTTCAGAGGTTCCTGAAATCCTGGCTTTAGGGCTGTTCTGCAGTATCCAGGGCAGCGTACCTCCTCTGTCTGGTGTCTAGGAAGAAGAGCTGTTCCTTTCCTTTCTGCACTGCCACTGCTTTGCTTGCCTTTCTGGGCAACAGTAGGTGGAAAGAGGCCACACATTTCTAGTCCCCACTTTTATACTCCATTGTTGCCCACCCAAGTGGTTTTGCTTTTAATCACAAGGCAACATAAAAAAAAGTGGCTCACCTAAGGAGACGGGTCTTTCCCTTTCTACACAAACTTCTCCTTGTCCATGGGTAAAGAGAAGAACCATTTATAAAGTTCATTTGGTTAATAAACAGTTATAATGGGGAAGACATCGTGTAACTCCTGATTAGTGGCTTATGTAAAACCGAGGCTCAGGGTTACTAAGAAAGTTCTGCTACCTGCTGATGCTTGCAGGAGTGTTGTGTAAGAGCTGAGCTCTCCTAGCTTTCTAGCAGGCAGCCAGCATTTGAGGTGAAGCTTTATTTGGCCCATGCAAAACAAACACTAAGCACTGAGAAACCTCCATTGTGAAAGTCAAGGTGTACTAATGGGAGAGGGAAAATAGAGGCAGCAACTGTGAAAGCTGTGGCAAAGAAAAAGTATTAAATTGCTTCAGTGCTGCATTTTGCTCTTCTACCTGCCTGCAAAAGTCACAGTGACTTTAACTGAATGGATTGTCGTGCCTGGGGTGACAGGAGGCTAAATCAGCTGTTAGACGGAGATGGAGTTACATAGCATGCTGTAGCCTCCCTGCTGAAATTATGCCTCCTCTTCAGACTTCCAGCTGCTTGCACTGTGGTGTTCACTGTTTCTCTTTCCTTCCACTCATCTTGTCCCCTCAGCCTTGAGTCGTGCTTGGCTGTGGCCCTCCTGAGTGCGCCCTGGGAAGGCAACGATGATCACATTCATGAACAACTCAGACAGCGAGGAGGAGCCCTGCAATGAGAGAACATCCCTGATGTCTGCAGAAAGCCCTCCAGTACCCTCCTACCAGGATGGCCTGCAAGCCTCGGAAGCAGGGGAAGCACAGGGACACAGGGTAGGTGTGCGTCCTGCCTAGGGAATGAAGAAATGGGGTGTGATGATAGTCCTGCTACCCCTCAGTCCTTCCCAGCAGACTGGCTTCTAGGATTGGCTTTGGCCAGTGCTGTTTCTCTGGTGTCACTCTCAGCCAGCAGCAGCAGTGCCTGTTCCCATTTCCTCTGCTGTGACTTTTTCCCCCTTTTTATCTCCATATATACTCCTCCCTTTTCCTTCCTTTCCATAAAGATACAGGTTTTTAATCGGGACCTGATGCACATGTGATTCTTGCAGGATATCCTTTTCAGCCTTCTTATTTTGCCAGAAACCCTTTCTCTGCTCTGGTCAAAGGCAGCAAATGTTAGAACAGAATCTAGTCCTGCTGCCAGCAAAGCAGCAGGGTGAAGCAAGCACAGCATTGCTGTAGGGGGAGGAACTGGTCAATCTTGTGCCACCTCAGATGACCTTCTGTCTCCGTTCTGGGCATCTTGCCCTTCATGTGCATGTGTCCATCTATATACTGCGCTTGAAGAGGCCCTTAGATATTAATGTTTTTGGTTTAAAAAAAAACCCTCCTTTTCAGCCTGTTTGTAATGGAATTTCTAATTCTATTGTTCAGTTGGTACCTTTCTATTAGGAACAAGTTGGTATGCTGTGGTGGCCTACAGCAGCCTCATGAAATATGATGGAATAAAGTTTTGAACACAAAGTAAAGAAGCATCTTATATATTTGCTAATATTTCTTTTCAGAAGAGGCGAACAGGTAGCAGCCGTAGCCCTAACAATATTGCTGATGGGGAAGTGTCTGACTCGGCTGTTCCAGTGAGAGAAAGAGCCCTGGAAAATGAAGAGGAGGAGCTGACTCTGAAATATGGAGCAAAGCATGTAATCATGCTCTTTGTGCCTGTCACCCTTTGTATGATTGTTGTCGTCGCCACCATAAAGTCAGTGCGCTTCTATACGGAGAAAAACGGGCAGCTGTAAGTGGGGTCTTCAGAATAGCCTCTGAGTACATGGGATTCCTAGCTTTACACATACGTCCCACGCACGCGCATCTGTCTACACAGAGTGCTTCCTTGGCAGGTTGGGAGAACCTTTACACAGCTACAGGTGGCTGTGTAAACATATAAGGATCTTACTAAAGTATGCTACGTTCATCTGTGTAAGTTCTTCCATGCCTGCATTATACCAATTTGTTAGCGCTGTCATTAGGGCACCTTAAGCGAAGCCTGTGAGCAGCGAAATATGCTTCATGCTGCAGCATAAAAGGCCCAGGCTGAACTCCTAGTCTGTTCACCCACTAGCTGGCAGCAATCAGGGAATAGCATGTTCATTTGGATGAGTGTCTCATCTCCTGATGACATTTCTGGTTCATAAAGACTCATGGTGTGGATACATAATTCCATCCAGCTGTCGCTGACTGTGCCTGAGAGCACTCCTGGGGCTCTAACTGCACTTCACATGGTGGGTGGAGAAACAGAACTGTGGTCCCTTGAACTGAACCAAAGGAGACAAAATGGGGGAGGTGGCGGGTGATGAGCAGGGATAAAAAAGTCCAAGACTCTCCTACCAAGTGTGGAAAGAAAGGGTGCCCCCCTTCCTTTTAGGACAGCACCTGGGATGTATCCTTATAATTATCACGGAGAGGATCCAGAGCATGCAATAAAAAATTGTGGCCTGGAGAGAAGTTACTAAACTTCAATGAAGTCATTTATACTCTAGGTATTTTTGTTTAGAGCTCTGCCAGCCACAGCTTCTCTGTAGGAATGTGCTTTTGATAGAGACCACTAATCTGTAGTTGATAATTAACTGGAGCCCAGTCCCTTCAGAGGCTAGAACTCATGTTTGCTGTCCTTGGCAGTCATGCCTCCCTTTCTTTCCCACACACAGAGGTCTGGTTTTATCTTGGGGCAGTTAGTTAGAAGACAACATATGTACTTTATATGGCTTTTGCTTTACACTGCAGGATCTACACCCCTTTCAGTGAGGATACCCCGTCTGTGGGCCAGCGTCTCTTGAACTCGGTATTGAACACCATCATAATGATCAGCGTCATCGTTGTAATGACTGTGTTCCTAGTTGTGCTCTATAAATATCGCTGCTACAAGGTAAAGTGCTCATATGCTGTGAACCTGATTTCAAGTGGGGCTTCTGTGTCAGTGAGAAATACGGGCACAGCACAGGCTAGTCTTAGTCATCTACATCTTAGTCATAGCAAGAATCGTATCGTACCTTCATCACGTTTGTACCCTTGCCCTTGTCTGCGGTGGTAGAACTGTGCCCCTGAATATGCTTTGCTGTTATTTTGTCACTAATGATAGGCTCTTAAAAACAAAGCTTGCTACTTTGTATTAGTCAGGTCTGAGTCTTCTCCATCTGATCAAAAAAGTTCTGTGGTTTGTACTTACAGACTAAGTTGTACCATTAACTGCAAATGCCTTCTCTTAAGAAGTTACAGACAAGGCTTGTGGAACCAGTGTTCCTCCTGCCTGCAGAGGCTCTGGCGGAAGGGGACAAGGCTTGTAG